CCCCCCCCGGTCATATTGCCATGTGGAAGGGCTTCTCGCATTTCTACAACTATAAGGAATTCTTACCCGTTTGGAAGTACTGATTTCCTGGGGCCGCTGAAACAAATGATCACAAAATGGGGGGTGGTTTAAAACAAGACATTTATTCTCTCACAGTTCTGGAGGCCAGAGTCAGGCTTAGAGAGGAGCCTTTCTGGAGTCTTCCAGCTGCTGCTGGCTCCAGGTGTTCCTCAGCTTCGCGGCTGCACCGCTACGGTCTCTGCCTCCCTCCATCTTCACGTGGCCTCCTCCTGTGTGTCCGTCTCCTCTGTGTGTCTCTTTAAGGACACTTGTCATTGGATTTAGGGCCCAGCTGGCTAATCCAGGATGCTCTCCTCTCAAGATCCTTAATTATATCTGCAAAGACCCTTTTCCTGAATAAGGTGACACAGATTTCATGGAGCCGCCATCCAACCCACTACGGGATCATAAACCACTTTGAGGATCTGATGAGAGCTCAGGAACTCTGAATCATGTCAAGTTCCTGGAAGCTGAGGCGGAGACAAGGGCTCTTGTAGAAGTAATTTATGGAGGGAGGGCTCCAAGAACGGGCGAGGGGAGAGCAGGCTTGGGCAGGGGACAAATGCTCAGCCAGAAGTGACTCAGCTGGAGACTAGCTCTGCCTGATCTCCCAAGATGCCTGGAGCATGAACTGCACTAGAGCTGTTCCCACCTGGAGGCAAGGGGCCTCTGTGCCCCTGAGTCAGTCATCTCCCCTGGTGGGGGGCAGGTGTAGTCTCTCTGGCCAGGAACTCCCTTTAGGGCAAGGAGGGTTCAGCGAAGGAGTGGGTGGGCAGGAACACTCAGGGCAGCCCTTGGGGGTGGGTTACAGGGCTCTGGTCAAGAACCAACAACATCTACTGCAGAATGTGCGCGTGTGCACGCACTCCCCCCCCCCCCCCCCCACATACCATTCAATCTCAGGGACTTCACAGACCCTTTAAAGCTTGGAATCCAGGTTAAGGACTGTGTCCACTGCTGACCTAACACTTCTAGTCACTCATGCCACCTGGCCGCCTTTCCTCCTTTCCCAGGGGAAATGACTGGTGGCGTCTGGGAGGCAGACGGAGCGCCCTGCAATCAATCCTCTGCTGACGGCACACCAGCAGAGCATGCATCCTCCGCAGGGACCTGCTCCAGGGTAGGTGAGATCAATTCAAAGGAAAGTCCCTTTTGGCACAGCGTTCCTTTCTAATCGGCTTTTCAGTAGGAAAGCTAACAGCTCTATCTCCACCTGTCTGGCTCCTGCGTGTCTCAAGCAGTTCTGAACTCAGGCAGGGACATGAGAGAATATTTACAAACCTCCTAAGACCCCGAGGCATCTCGTCAGAGACAGTGTCCCCCTTGAAGTATGACCTGTGGGCTGGCTGCCAATTCACTGACTGCCACCTGACCCCTCGCCCCAGGACACGATCAACAGTGGCTTCCTCACTGGTAAAGCTCTCTACCAGAGCAGGCAGCTGGCCTCAGCGTGCACTGGAGATGGAGAGAACTTACATTCTGCTGCCAACGCGTGTCCTCACACACCGGCACTTGGAACGGCACCGACAGAGGCAGCTGTAGTCGAACCAGGGGAGCTAATGAGACCGGTGGGCACGGCCTGAAGGGCTCTCATCTGAAACAGGGAGGACACGATAACAAGCCTAAGTTAAAGAGGCAACATCGGACTCAAAATAATGCAATGGTAACAAAAATGATTAGTGGGTCACTGTCCAGAGCCTTTGCCACCGCTGCTGTGTTGCTGGCTTGGATCCTGGAGGCCTGATCGGGATGATGGACAGGCATGAAGGCTGTCCGGGGAAGGACGCAGAGTATTTGTAGGAAAGAGAACAAGACAGAGTAGAAAGCAGAGAAGGTGGTCCAGAGGGAGGTCCTGGGAGCCAGATGCAGGAGTGAGTTTGTGGTTGGGAGCGGAACAGGGGGTTGGTGTGTTTTGGAGAGCAGCTGGGGTCTTGGGGGGAGGACTAAAAAGAGAAGGGCCCCTCACTGGCCTGGCCCCTTGGAAGGTTCTAGCAATGTGCTCTGGTTTTGTAAATTTTGAAACTTTAAGCTATTTTAGCGCAAATGGCCAAGACCCCTGTCTCTTTCTGCTCCATTTCCACTCCTGTTGGTTTAGGTGTGGTGGGCGGTTGTTGACATGACTCAGTGGCTTCTCTCATTGGGCTCTGTGCGGACAGCCAGGCTCAGAGCCTGGAGCCTGTTTCAGATTCTGTGTCTCCCTCTCTCTCTGACCCTCCCTTGCTCACACTGTCTCTCTCTCTCACAGAAATAAAACATTAAAAAAATTTTTTTAAATAAAATTTTTAATGTTTTTACTTATTTTTGAGAGAGACAAGAGTGTGAGCAGGGGAGGGCCACAGAAAGAGAGAGACACAGAATATGAAGCAGGCTCCAGGCTGAGCTGTCAGCACGTGGGGCTCGAACCCACGAACCGTGAGCTCATGACCTGAGCTGGAGTCAGAAGCTTAACCTGCTGAGCCACTCAGGTGCCCTATTTTCTAAAATTTCTTACAAAAATGTCCTGTTTGTTTCATAGATGCAATATGTATGTATCTGAGAATGTCTGCATGTTTTAAATTTCTCATCTTCTTGCTGTTTTCTTCAACATTGCTCCCCACCTCCCCGTTCATTTGTCTTGATCTCTGAAACTCATGTTTAGAGGCTTTTCGCTGACGTCTGCATAATCGTTGGTTGCCTGCTATGACTGAGAGGCAGGGACTAAAAAACATTTTGGAAGATCTGAGCTCATCATTTTTAGGACTTTTAGATTTTGGGGTTACTGTAGGGTACTGTGTATGGGCCATTTATTGGGGAAACTCTTATGCCTGTATCTTGGGAATGGTAACTCTCCAGAAAATAATCTTTTAAAATTTTTGCATGGAGAGTAAAGATTTAGTTTTCAGCACCAGCTTAGTGAGGAAAACAGGATGAGGACCTCAGCATTCAGTAATCACATGCTCTCTTAATCCCCATTTTCAAGATACTACTTGTGACCTTAATTTAGCCTAGTATCCCCCGTATAGACACTCTTTTGTTTTGCCTTTTCCAGAAAATAAACGTTTAGATTTCTGCTATGATGAGAAATCTAGATTTGTGAGGAAATATGCAGGATAAACTCCAAGAAGTGGACTTGCTGGATTCAAGAGTGCATGCATTTTTTTTTCTCCTATGTACATATATATATATAGATTTATTTATAAAACCCGCCCCCCACCCCTAAGGCGGGAGGAGCTGGGGCAAGTAGAAGAGGTGGAAAAGGGGCCCAGAAAAAGTGGAGGGGTGGAGAGGCATGGCTGGAAAAGGAGGGAAGAGGGTCCCTTTCCTCAAGTTAAGGGGGGCACAGGAGCTCCGCTGACAGTCATCTTGCGCCCCACTCAGATGCCCCGCTGGTGTTGGTGCCCTCCGAGGGGGTGGGTGCTGTGGGCAAGGTGAGCCTCTTGCAGGCCGGCTGGACCCGATACTTGAGGGGGAGAGGGCCATTCCGCCGCCAGGGATAGATGTAGGCTATATCCATGAGAGTGTAGTATTCCTTCAGTGGCTCATCTTCGTACAGAACTTCCACCTTGTACTTGCTGGGCACGTCCATCTTGTTGCGAAGAAACTTGGCGAGATGCGTGACGGTCATGGCTGCTGGGCATTGCAGGAATCGGACCCCTGTCTTCTCTTTGTCCCCATCCCCATTCTCCAGAGGACCTTTCTTTTCCTCCCGGTCCCTGACACCTTCATAGAACTCGATGGAGAGGCTGACGATCTCGCTGTCACTCAGAGCTCCCTTCTCCTGCTCCAGGACCTCACCACGGTCCTCGTTGGAGCCACTGGGGACTTCAGTCAGGGGGTACGCTGCATAGAAATCCCGCCGTCGTTTCATCTCATCTTTAAAGAGCCCAGGGACCAGTTTATAGACGATGTCTTGGAGGGTTTTGTCAGATCTGATGCTCAGCAGCGGCCTGGTTTTATGCACCTGCACGTCACACATGGGGCAGTACTTGTTGGTCTCCAGGTAGCGCACGATGCAGGTTTTGCAGAAGGAATGCAAGCACTCCACGATGGTAGTGGCGTCGATGAAGTACTCCCCCCAGAGGGCACACATGAGGTGAGGGTTCAGCTCTGTGATTTTGATCCGTGTGGTCCGATGCATGATGCCGGGGTGGGGGGCAGGGGGCCTGGGGAGGGTCACCCTGGGTTCGGAGTCCGGTGGGTCTCGGGGAGGGGGGATGGGAGGGAGGGAGGGAAGGGGGGAGGGGGGCCGCAGCCGTGTCGCTCGCTCTGGCGGCTGGAGGGGAGCACATTTTTTTTTTTAATGTGACTTATTTTTGAGAGCAAGAGAGCGTGAGCAGGGAAGGGGCAGAGAGAGAGGGAGGGAGGGAGGAGGGAGGGGGAGGGGGAGAGAGAGAGGAACAGAGGATCCAAAGTGGGCTGACAGCAGAGAACCCGATGCAGGGCTTGAACTTATGAACTAAGAGATCGTGACCCAAGCTGAAATCAGACGCTTAACCGACTAAGCCAGCCAGGTGCCCCAAGAGTGCATACATTTTAGATTTGTTTTAGTCACTGCCGAATTATTCTTTATTGAGCTTGTATTACATACAGCACCACGAGCAATATACGAGAGTATGTTTCCTCATACCCTGTAGTCATCAAACCTTTTGACTCTGAAACAAGGTGGAAGATATTTTGTTATCTTAATTTACATTTTTCTTGTGTGAGACAGAGCATCTTCTCATAGTTGAGAGATCTATTTCCGTTTTTTTTCCCCTTGTTTGCTCACATAACCTTTGCCTGTTGCATTAAGGATCCGTAGGAACTCTTCACTTTTTCCAGTTTCTTGTTTGTTGAATTTGCTTATAGTGGTTTATCGGAAAAGAAAACTTTATTTTTTTTAACAAAGCACTTTTACTTTCCATGCAAAGGTGAGTCAGAGACTTTACATAAAACTGTGAGATGGGCAGCTGAGAAGGGAGTTTCCAGCGTGTGGCTTGGGCGATGCTGCCGCGGGAGCATGGCCAGGGCCCCTTCCCCTCCGCAGGCTGCTTGCTGGGCCTTCTGCTTTCCCTGCCAGGGGAGAGCAACGGAGGCAGCCCCAGCCGCCACTGCGCCTGCCCTTCCCTAACTGCGCCGCTAGCGAGGCTCTGGGCCTTGCCTGAGCTTCATCAGGTCTGAGTTTGGGGGTATTAGAAACATAGGGAGAAGTAGAAGAAAATTGCCTGTGCTGAAACACACATTCCTTTATTTTTTTGTTACGGTTTTGTTTTAGAGGTAAGGGTCCCTGGAAGGCCCTTTAGGGGGACCAAAATACCATCATGGTAGTAGGGACTGTAGCAGCTACAAGTACTGAGGAAGGAAAATACTCTTCAGTGTGGTCAGACTTATTCTATGGCTTCTGCACCCTGTGTCTTATTGAGATAGACTTTTCTACATTCTGAGATTAAAAATGTCTCCCCTTATTGGCCCTATTTTCTTTATTGTATTTTAATTTTCATTCATTTGGATTTTTCCCTCAGATGGCTACCCATTTGTCCTAATCCTATTTATTGAACATTCATATTTTACTTACATATTTTAAATAATATCAACAATATTACAGGGGCATTTGGGTAGCTCAGTCAGTTGAGCATCTGACTCTTGGAATTCGAGCTCTGCATTGGGCTCCGTGCTAATTGTCTGGCTAATTCTCTCTCTTAAAATAAATACTTTAGAAAAAAAGTACATACAAAATTCTTGTGTATTTGGGTTTATTCTGGAAATCTTGCTCTGTTGACCTATTCATGTGCCTGCACTACAGTATTTATTAGTTTTGTCTTACCTTTTAATAGAGCTGATTCCTCATTTATTCTTTTTAGACTATTCAGAGCTCTTTATTTTTTTCTACTTGAACTCTGAAATCATCTTGTCTAGTTTCCAAACATGGTTTGGAATTTAGTGGAATCACTTTAAATTTATAGGTTAATTTAGGAAGAATATTTATTATGTTGAGTCTATTCAAGGACATGGTGTGCCGTTCCACTTGTTTAGCGGTTCTTCTGAGTCCTTGTGTAGCATTTTAAAGTTTTACCATAGTGACCTTACAGTTCTTACTAAATATATTCTTTGCTGTTTTATCTTATTTATGGCTATTGTAAATGGAGCCTTCCATATACTTGCTAACTAGCTGTGGCTTGTACATATATATGAATTCTTTTATTAAGTTTCTCCATTCATTCTATTCCATTTTCTAAGCAAACAATAACATTTGCAAATAATGATAATTTTACCCTTTTCCTCCAAATGGCATATTTTGTGTACCTAAATTCACTTAACATTTATTTTTGAGAGAGAGACAGAGAGAGATGGAGAGAATGAGTGGGGGAGGGGCAGAAAGAGATGGAGACAGATGATCTGACGGGGACTCTGTGCTGACAGCAGAGAGTCTGATGTGGGGCTCGAACTCAAACTGTGAGATCATGACCTGAACTGAAGTCAGACGCTTAACCGACTGAGCCACCCAGGTGCCCCTAAAATTCACTTTAGATATTCTTTTTGCCGATAGCATCTGTATTATATTTCTTAGGGCTGCTGTAATAAAGTATCACAAAGTTGGTGCCTTAAAACAGAGATTTAAGGCCTCAAAGTTCTGGGAGCCAGGGGTCTGAAGTGAAGGTGTCAGCCTGGCCATACGCTGAACCTTCCTGTCTCTTTCTGCTTCTGGTGGTGTGCTGGCAACTCTGGGTGTCCCATAGCTTGCAGCGGCAGCACTTCTGTCACTGTCTGTGTCCCCATGAGTCTTGTGTGTCTTTTTCCTTCTTTTTTTATTATTATTTTTTATGTTTATTTTTGAGAGAGAGAGAGAGAGAGAGGAAGTGGGGGAGGGGCAGAGAGGGAGACAGAATCCAAAGTAGGCTCCAGGCTCTGAGGTGTCAGCACAGAGCCCGATGCAGGGCTCAAACTCATGAACCGCGAGATCATGACCTGAGCTGAAGTCGGACGCTTAACCAACTGAGCCACCCAGGCACCCCTTTCTCCTTCTTTTTTAAATTAAATTAAATTTTAATTTTATTTATTTTGAGAGAGACAGTGAGAGAGGGAGACAGAATCCCAAGCAGGCTCCACGCGATCAGTGCAAAGCCAGACACAGGGCTCGACTCTCCAAACTGTGGGATCATGACCTGAGCCAAAACTAAGAGTTGGATGTTTAACTGACAGAACCACCCAGGCACTCCTAATCTTTTACTTTTATTTATTTTTTATTTATTTATTTATTTTTTTAACTTTTTTTTTTTAATTTCTAGGAGAGAGAGAGAGACAGCGTGAGCAGGGGAGGGTCAGAGAGAGAGGGAGACACAGAATCCGAAACAGGCTCCAAGCTCTGAGCTGGCAGTCAGCACAGAGCCCGACGCGGGGCCCGAACCCATCAACCATGAGATCATGACCTGAGCCAAAGTCAGACACTTAACTGACTGAGCCACCAAGGCACCACTCTTTTTCCTTATTAGGATACCAGTCAAATGTTTCAGGGCCTGCCTTAAAAACATCATCTTAATTTAAATACATTTGCAAAGATGGTGATTCTACCAGAATCAGAGGTTAGAACATTAACATATCCTTGCGGGGAGGTGGGGGGTGGTGGTGGATGACAAGCCAATCACAGCATCAAACTGTTTCCCTCTTCTTTATTCATTGTGAAGACTAGAATTGATAGTAGGAGTCCACTGAATTTTCTTTGTTTTGTTTTGAAGAAGTGTCTATCAAATCCTAAAAATTTGTATATAAAATTTGGTAGGTGTATGCATTTGGGTTGAGGAATGGGTTTCAAGCTCTCATGGGGTTTCTTAATGGATCTGCTATACCCTAAAAACTTAAAGAATAGTTTATGAAGACCAAAAAAATAATAAGCATTTATTAAGTTCATTCAAAAAAATTTATAGGTCTATTAGCTTTGTTAGAATATGGATAATCATGGAGGCTATCCAAATTTAATAACATTTTTTTTAATGTTTATTCATTTTTGAGAGACAGAGAGAGACAGCATGAGTAGGGCAGGGTCAGAGAGAGAGGGAGACACAACTTGAAGCAGGCTTCAGGCTCCGAGCTGTCAGCACAGAGCCTGACACAAGGCTAGAACCCACGAACCGCAGATCATGATCTGAGCCGAAGTCAGATGCTTAACTGACTGAGCCACTCAGGCACCCCTAAGTTTAACAACTTTTGATTATCACATATTTATATGGTGTATTACTGTTTAGAAGGATTTTATATACACTTTGTCTTTTGAGCCTCTTCATACTATGTATATAATACTCTAATTTTTGGCACAGTAGATTCTGGGAGGTTACTCTCCAAAATTAAAAAGTGAGTAATGAAGTCAGTTCTCAAACTCCGGGCTTAACGAAACTCTATAGGTACAGGAGTCCCTGTTTATCCATGGGAGATAACATTCTAAGACCCCCAGTGTAAGCCTGAAACCGCAGAGAGTACCGAACCCTATATATATTATCTTTTTTCCTATACATACCTACCTACGTTAAGGCTTAATTATTACAAATCAGGCACAGTGAGAGATTAACAATGACAAAACAGAGCAATTATAATGAAATACTACTGTAATAAAACGCGAATGTGCTTTCTCTCAAAATATCTTATCGTATTGTACTCATCCTTCCTCTTTTGTGTGAGATGTGAGATGATACAATTCCCATGTGATGAGATGAAGGGAGGTTAATAACGTAGGCACTGTGATGTAGCAGGAGGCTACTCATGACCTTCTGACGAGTCAGGAGGAGGATCATCTGCTGCGGAATCGCAGTTAACCGTGGCTAACTGAAACTGGAAAGCAGAACCGTGGATACTACTGTACATATAAGTTTTAACTTTTCAGAAATGAACTCCTACATACTCATCTGCAGCTTGTATTTGCTTAATATATTTTGGACATCTTTCCATGTCCGTATGAATGGCCTTATGCATTTTTTAATAATGTACTGATTTCCATAATTTATCTAGTTCTTTATTGATGAGTATTTAGGTAATTTTCAATGTTTCATTATTAAGAACAATGCTTCAGTGAAAATCTTTGTATATATAAACCTTGTACATGTGTGAGGATAAATTCTTTTTTTTTTTTTTTTTTTTTTTTTTAAATGTTTTATTTATTTCCAGGAGAGAGAGAGAGAGAGAGACAGCGAGAGCAGGGGAGGGTCAGAGAGAGAGGGAGTCACAGACTGAAACAGGCTCCAGGCTCTGAGCTGGCAGTCA